CGAGAGCGCATTGTATGAATGCACGTACCTGTATCTGTATCTGTATCTGTATCTGTATCTGTATCTGTATCTGTATCTGTATCTGTATCTGTATCTGTATCTGTATCTGTATCTGTATCTGTATCTGTATCTGTATCTGTATCTATATCTGTATCTGTATCTGTATCTGTATCCGCATCTATGTATCTGTATCTGTATTCGTATTCTGTGTATCTCCTCTACTCCTTTTCCACTCGCCTCTATCTACACCTTTATTGCAACAGACCGGACAGCTCGGACTCTAAAGCTGCTGTCGCTCGCTGCAATTCGATCAGCAAAATGTAGACGCGAACCTTTTATGCGTCACATATATTTGCCGAAATGAAATGCTTAAGGTGGTTTCGAAGACACCAAAAAATAAAAGTAAAATTAAAATAAAAGTAAATTTGTATCTGTATCTCTCTCTCACACACACACACACACACACACACACACACACACACACACACACACGCGGCGCGCGCGCACACACATGCGCACTACTATATCGCGTTGTGTGGATGCAAAAATAAGGATTGTCTTTCCCGATGCTTGGAAGACAATTCAGTCACAGACAATTCTATCACTCAAGAATTAAAAAAAAGAGCGAAAATAATAAATTTACATTTTGATGTAAACATTTTCTTAAATAAATACAGATATAAATATTTTCTCGCACAATTTTGCGACACAACAGCTATTATCGACAATATCGAGATAACCGATAAGCGATGTCCTCAAATATCCGGCTTGTCTCAACTTTGAGAGAATTCTTTAGAGATATACACATTAATTAACCGCTCTTTCTCTCTAACTCCTAAAATATAATAGGTTTTCTTTCTCGAAACTTTCCTAAAACCGCCTCGCATTGACGCGCGACAATTAAAACGATATGCATGGGAAAGCGGCGTCGACGAGAGAGAGAAGAGATATATACGGGATGTGAAAGAAGAAGATTAAAAAAAGCGAACGATACTTGAATCACAGATAGTTTCTTCGATCGAAGCGTAAATGATTTTCCCTTTCGAGAAAAATTTGAGGCTCGATAGGACGCAATTAGCATATGACTCGAGTTTTTAATGTAATTTTTGAGATCTTAACTCGAAATCCCGCTTGGGGATTTCGTACTTAGAAATACGGAATTGCTTGAAAAACACAAGATCACATCTCGTTCTTGTGAACACTATTGAATTTTGAGGTACACGAGAGACAAGAGCTGTTTGTAGAACGGTCCAACGTTTGCAAAACAATCGTGCCTCTCGCTCCACTATTCGTGCTAAAGCGCTGCGCAATAGTTCTGGAACACCTGGTGTATACACCGGATGGACGTTCACTGGAACGCTATATGGCGCGTCCGTTGCAGCGGACTTCTCTCTTTTGAGCCTCGACTAGAACTGTGCGTTTTAACGGCGGCTTACTGCTACGTTAAGCAGATCAAACGGTGGTCTTTGTGCGGGCGATACATGCGACGCAACCACGACGAGGCATCGAGCATGCGGTCAAATATGCTTACGTCAAATATATGTCGTGAACACATAAATGCGTTACAAACCAAATCAAATGAGTACGAAGATTCCCGTTATTTTTATACCGTCGAGATAACCACATATTTTTTAAGCGTTTTGCGGTTTTAGTATACGAACGAGAAATCGAACGAGAAATCGAATAATTCGCATAATCGCATTTTATAGGTGTCAGAAATATTATACCTGGCAATAATTATTGCGCTCGGTCTCTGTGATTACGTATTAATTCTCCGATAATACGTCCGATGACTCATTGTCACTCATTGTTAGCGCTTATCTACGTTGCCGTTGTCAGATTTCAATTTCATTGCGCGCGCGCGCGCGCGCGCGTGTGTGTGTGTGTGTGTGTGTGTGTGTGTACACGTACGCAAAACAAATGCTTTCTGCAGAACGCCCAAGGTGGAATCCGCTTTCTTTACCGCGCGAGGAACAACAGGAAATTTCGAATATTCATCTGGCAGAAAATCTCTGGAGTCACGCCATCGTAAGCGGAAAATCAGTATTAGCGCGAGAGATTTCTTCAACGCGTACTAACTAGTTCCGATTCGTTCTGATCATACCCAATTTGCGATTTGTTCAAAGATCTGGCTTTATTGGCAGAATAAATATGACGATATATCGAAAAGAGTTAACATTCTACGCATGATTGTATAATTCTCACAATATCTATCTTATACGAAACGTCATATTATCGATTTTAATCTTGCAAATCTTTACAATTTCGACGAATAATTCATACGATTTATTTATTTTTAATTTCATTTCAGTCTTCGCGCTGTGTTGTACAGATGTACATGCAGGAATAGAAAAAACGTCATAACGAAATATATATTTTGTAAAGTTGAAGATTGTAAAGTTGGATATATGGATTTACATCGAAAAACTCATAATGACTGATGCAGTTGATCTTTATAATGACATGATGCAGTTACATTTTGCTATTTTTATTTTAGTAATCGAATGTGTGCCCGACGTTTTCGTAAATTTTATACTGTAAACGTATATACGTAAAACGACCTTATGCTTTAGAATTTTATCCGCGCGTCAGTATTTCTCTCGCTTACATAATATCTTACCGACTAAAACTATATGCAAAAAGCTGTTTAATGCGCCACGAGGATAGACTCCGTTGCACAAGGGCGTTAAATCATCGCGAATGAAAGGACTGCTGTCAATGGAACGGGAATCTGATTAGATCTTAAACACGTCTTAAAGCGACTACGCGTTTCGAAACGATGCGTCCGTCGTAAATGTCAGAATAATTTGCGTATTATCGCACTTGAGCGAATTCTCGCATTAGAATGCACTCTCCAAAAATTTGCAAATCTGTAACTTTCATCTCTTTGATCTTAATTTAGTGATTTAATCGGAAAAAAAATAAATATACATTAGGCTGTAAGAAGGTAGATTCCCCTTATTTCGAAACATAATATTTGTGTCTCTCGATAAAGATATATAGATGGTGTTTGTTAATTTTTAAATTGAATCGGAATTGAGTTGCAAGAAATCTATAATTATATTAGTGTAAATCTCTTTCTCATCTCGACCTTGTAATCTTTCGATTAACAAGCTTGTATAAGAGTGGTATATATTCTTTGTATTCTTTTTACGTATAGAAGTGCTGAATTTATTAATAATAATTTATTAAATAATCACATGGACACTAAATTGATATGTTGGAATCCGATTACGCAATTGATGAAGCGTTTAGAGGCGTCTTTGCTAGTAAATGGGTTCGCTAAAAATTGCATAAGTTGCTCTTAGTGGTGACACAGTGATACGAATGACGATTGACAAATCTCGATATTATCTATTTAGAACATTTTTTAAATTGTATATCGTATATCAACGCGATTACTAA